CAATGCAAGCTGGCAGCTGCCCCGCTGAGCACGGCCCCCACAGCGGGGTGCGTCCCGGGGCAGAGCATCACTCTCCTGTGTGTGGGGCAAAGACGATGCTCGAGTCCCAGTGGGAGGGTGAGGGGTCAGCTCGGGTTAAGACATGCAGTAATTTGTGAAGGGTGCAAACAGGGTATTAAGTGGACTGTTTGTGGCTGGTGGGATTAAAGAGCAACAGTAGGAAGTGTTTAAAATAAGGCCAGAACAAGGGAATTCAAACGCATATGAGTTGCTGAATAGATGCAGAATTTATTAACAGAGGTAACAGATCAGGTGTTCAATAACTTTCAGAGTTCTGCTTGTGCAGAAACTGGATCTTTTTTTCTTGTAATATGTAAGGCTGGTGAGGTACTTGCAAGCCTGCTATTAGCCGAGAGGTTTAAACAACATATGCTCAAAACAGACTTATCTTTACACTTAGTCCTGGAGTGCCCAAACAGAATAACTCCCAAAGAGGTGAGGGAGGCACACAGAGGGCTTTTGAACTACTGCTGAGATCAGAAGGGTGCTGATGCGGAGCCACTGCAAAAGCAGGAAATCAAATCATTTTGGGCTGGCTAGTTTGATATCACAGTAACGACAGGTACAAACCAGGCAAGCCCCAAGCACAGGGTGCAAGGCGTGGGCACTGTGCCAGCAAGGAGCGGGTGGGAAGAGGAGGTGTGAGCCCCAAGCGTGGCGCGGTGACACGGACCTTGGCACCCAGGCTCAGTGTCCACCTTTTTTAAAGGCTGTGGGCAAGGCAGGAAAGGAGACATCAGAAATGGGAGAAAGAGAAATGTGCCGTAATAAGGAAATTCACTGTTTTGCCTCAGAAGGAGATCGTAAGGGGTGGGTTTGCAGTGTGCAGCCTTCTTGTAAAGGTCACTCTGTAATCTGGCAAGGAGAGGCAGAGCTGCCCGCAGACGCCTGAACAGGATGCCAGGCAATTTCACACCACCAGAAGAGTTTCCTTGTGATCGCAAAGATGATTCTTTGTCCCGTGATGCCTTCAGAGCAAACCCAGACCCTTTTGGGAAAACTTAACCCTAGTGAAATTCAATGGCTGCTCTCAGTATGAGCCTGCTTTGGGAAGGAGGATGCACAGGAGGTGCTGCAGGGTGACCTGCTGCTGCCTGTGGCTCTGTAAATAACCTCTCCTTCTGCCCTTCTGAGGCCTGGGGGATCTCCTCCCCTCCTGGAGGGAGCTGTCAGGTCGAGCAATGAATCAGGACAGCCAGGATAGCACTGCACATGTTTCCTTAGATTTCCTTCCCTGTGCCCTGTATTCAACTTTTTATTAAATACCAGATTCCGGAAAATAAGGTCATGAACCACGAGACACCAACATTTGTGTTGTTTTTTTTTTTTTTTCCTAGCAGAATATGGTCTATATTTTTATCATCCATGCCAGACTCAAGGTCAGCAGAGTGGAACCAGCCTGGTAGGAAAGTTGGTCCCAGAGAGCTGAGAGGCACTAACGAGGGAGGAGGAGAGGGGAGAAGCACAGACAGCAGATGTATTTCTTCTTCTTTATTGCACTACATTAACATACATCCTCTCTCTCAGAAGCTGCTGCCACCAGCGAGTCCAGCACCACAGGCACTAGGACATCAGTGCCCATCCTCAGTTGTTGGTGATGCTGGCAGCCTCCAGGAGCTGGCCCAAAGCAGACTGCAAATGTGCTGGAGCTTTTTTGGCAACACTTCATAATAAATGGCAAACCGTTTCTGCAGCTCATTTCCATTGTAATATTAATCAAACTGAATTCCTGTGGTGCTCATATGGATGTCATATGTAAATCCTTCAGAACTCTGCTGCTGCTAATTCCAAATTAAAGTCAATGGGGAAATTTCTCTCCTGCCTCCATCTTGCAGCCCTTAGCTCTTGCGCATTTATTCCATTCATGAAATCCCGATTATTGTAGAAATGAGGAAATACCAGAGCTGATGAAACCCATGAGGAGCACTGATACTTCTGATTTTATACGGAAGGTGCTCAGATGCCATGTTGACAGGGAGCACCGTGAAGCCCGATATGGAAAGGAACATATCCCTGTGCTGTACTGCCATGACACAGTACTCTGTGTATTGGTTAAAACAAAACCACTCACCAGCATTTCCAAGTGCCCATTCCCTCAGTGGGAAAATTTTAGGAACAGGCTTTTCAGTCCACGGCTCATCTTCAGCAGCTGTGGAAAAGACTCCAGCAAAGAGCATGAGAAACTTCCCAACTGCAGTTCTGGAACAACTCTCTCTAGAAGAGTTTTCTCCCCTGACCTTAGAAATCCTGCCCTGTTTGGAGAAGTGTATATCCTTATTTGCCATTTTTTGTGGGGGGAGAAGCAGGCAAATACAGGTTGTGTTTTGTTATGGGGATACTAACCCTTTTTTTTTTTTTTTTCCTTTCTTTCTTTGAGAAGGGGATAGAAGAGCTGTGAATTAGTTGCTGGACCCCAGGAGTTAGCTACTGGCCAGCCAGAAGCTCTTTTGGCCTTGGGCAGGATCCTAAACCTTGCAGAGGCTGGACTGAGTGGACTGAGCCAGCATTTGAGACAGGACAGCATTAGCACCTCCATTGTGTTGTCTCTTGCCTCCAGTAGTTGGAGGTCAGCCATCCAGTTCTACCTGCAGCCTTCACAACTCAGGGAATGGCATTAGCTGCCTCAAAGGAAAAGAGAAGAGCACAACGAGTGGGCCAAGACAGTTCACACCTTCCTGCAAGGGTGCCCCCGGGGGCAGCGGTGTGACGATTCCCCCTCATTCTGCACCACCAGAGCCCCTGGCTTTTTACTGGGTTCCTCTCTGCTCAGCATCAGCGTGACTTCCAGGCCAGGACAAAGAGCATCACAGATTTGACAGAAAGCAGTAAATGGCTTCATCTTCCCTTCACTGCACATGACAAAGCTACCAGCAGGAAGCCTTTGGTGCTGCCAGGACTAGTGCCCGGGTGAGGAGCAGGTTGCTGACACTGCACTGCAGCAGGGCGGAGGTCATACTGCGTGGCAGAAAGTTTGGCCAAATCCTTTGGCTGAAAATGCACGCTGACAACTGCACATTCCCAGGGGCACTCACATCCCTGCTGCCAATGTAGCAGCAACCTGCTTCCCGTCCCATCCCATCCCAGTAGGCTGCAGAGCACTTGCTGTGGTTCAGGCGATGATGAACCTACCCTCTGCCTTAGTCTCACTCTCTCCTACTGTGCTGGCTCCAGCTGTGTCTCAGCTGTTTCAAGTGTTAACTGGCCTTAAGCTGTGGGACATGATACCTGACAGACAGGAGTGGGTAATTCTAGTCTCAGGCACAAGAGAGCTCTCCCTGAGGACATTGTCTCCTCACTGGGCAGAGCTCTATCAGGCACAACCTTTCCAAACACAGCCAGGCTCCATCTGCACCAAGGATGCTTCCTTCTGATCTTTTGCTTTGGTTTTGAGCTAAAATTCATGAGTTTCCATGTAATCCCACAGCACAAGAGAACAGTCAGGGAGAGACTCAGATGTTCGTCATGTCACTACGTGCACTTTGGAAAGCATTCAGGTGCTTTTTTCCTGAGAAGGTTTGTCACATATGTCCATGAGTCACTCCAAAGTGATGTCTCCATATTCTCAGTGAAATATCTGTATTGTGAGAAGTCACAATTACCCAGCAGCAGTCCTTTACACTCACTGACCATTGACTCGAGCAGCTCTGAAGATAACTAGATCTCCAGAATGCAATATACGTGTTGGTATTTTTCAGGCAAGCCAGCACACAGAGAGAGGACACAAGCTCTTGCTCTGTAACTAGCCGCAGCACGATCTAGTTGATAATTAAGATGAATGGCTTTGTTCAGTTGCAGTATCTTGCAATGGAAGTGGGGTCCTCAGCATGGCCAACCCAGCAGCCAGAACATTTGTGCAGAACAAGAGGGAAATGGCACCCTCAGCTGGGAACCTGGCTCCAGGACCACCGTGTGCTGCTGCCTTCTGGCTGCACCGGGGCTTCTGCTGCCTGCCCACCCTGTGGGGCACAGAGACCTGGGGACAGGACAGAGGCAGGCGTGAGCGGGTGGGGGGCTCTGCTGTGGGTAGAGGTGGCTGTGGCTGTGTTGGTGCACAGGGGGAAAGGGGACAAAGGTGGCCCTTAGAGTAGCCGTGTGTCGGACTGAGTTTTCTCTAGCTGAGGGGTGCTAGGGGATGTTTCAGGGTACTGTAGGCTCTGCTTGCACTGCAGGACAGGGCACGTCCACCTCTGGTGGGGGTTGGCTTGCACAAGGGTTGGTCTGCAAGCCATGAAGGATGCCATGAAGGTACTGAGCACCTCCCGTACCGTATTCTGCGCTCTCTGCACTGAGTACAGCAGTGGCTTGAGGTGCCCTCTGGCTGGGGGCAGGGAGGTTTGGGGCGCTGGGATCCCTCTGTGCTGTCCCCACCTGCAATGTGGCTGCAGGGCTGCATGCAGGGCGAGGGCCTGGTTGGGACAGGAGGCCGGGGGGCATCTGGGGGCACAGCGAGAAAGTTTGGGGGTGTGGGGGGAACGAGATGCCCCTTATCCAACGGCACCACTGGCCGGGTGTGAGCTACTGTGCGGGACACATCTCCAAGCACCGCCACGAAGCAGCAGCCGGCTGGACAGAAGCATGGCTCCAGCTGCCGAGGGGGAGCGCGGCGTCCCCTGGGGCCCCTCTCCCGCTCGTCCCACGGCCGGGTTAGGACGCGAGGTCCCCGCGGGCGCCCCGCAGCCCCCCACACCCGCGGCGTGTCCGCGGGGGGCCGAGGGGAGAGCCGGGGGTCAGGCCCCGGGCCCGGCCAACACCTGCGTGCAGCGGGCCCGGGGCACGGGGAGCGGGGCGGGGGGGGAGGCAGCGGAGGCCGCGCAGCGCCGGGCCCCGCCGGGGACCTCCCCTCCGTGCGGGCCGGGCCGGGCCGGGCCCCCCGCGGCCCCGCAGCCCCCGCGCGGCGCTGTCCCGGCGGCAGGGGGCGGCGCTGGGCCGGGCCGGGCCGGCGGCCGCCGCGCTCCCTCCCCCGCTCCCCGCCTTCACTGCGCATCGGAAACATGGCGGCGGCGAGGGACTGAGCAGCAGCGCCCGGCGGCCGCGCAGGTGAGGGGGCGGCGGGGGACGGGCACGGCGCGGCCCGGCCCAGCCCGGCCCGGCTCGGCTCGGCTCGGCTCGGCCCGGCCGGGAGGCGCGGCGCTGGGCACGGCCCGGCCGGCACCGCCCGCGGGGCTCCGGGCACGGCGCTGCCCGCGGGGTGGGCGAAGGCAGCGCGGCCCCAACGCCGCCCGCGGGGGCAGCCCGGGGGGCGCGGCCGGGCCCGGCGCGGAGCAGCGCGGAGCGGAGCCCGGCTGTCAGCGCGGCCCCAGCGCCGCCTGGCCCGCAGCGCCCCGGCCTGGCAGCGCCCCGGCCCGGCCCCCCCCGCGCTGCCCGGCCCGGCCCGGCCCTGCCCGGCCCCGCCGCCACCTGTTGGTGCCCTTGGGGGCCCGGCCCCGCTCCTGCCCCTTGTCGGGCCCGGGGCCGGCTGCCCGCGGAGCAGCCCCGGGAGCTCGGGGCTTTGTTGCGCCCCTGAGCTGGCTCCGGGCAGGGCTGGGCGATGGGGCCCCGTTAAGTGCAGAGGGGATTCGGGTCCCTGAGCTGTTCCCGCAGCGCTTTGCGGTGCCTCGCATCGGCCCCCGACGGCCCGTGAGTGCTTTCAGCAGGCTGCCTGAGCCCCTGGCCCGCCCCGGTGCTGTGTGCTGCCCGCTGACACCCCGGGTATGAAAAGGGAGCGGGGACACAGGGACGTGCTGCTGGAGGTGCCGCAGGCTCCCGCTGCCAGCCCGCGGTGCTGCCTGCCCCTGGCCGCAAGCCCTGGAGGACAGCAGCGAGGCCGTGGTGTGGGGATGGACAAGGGCAGAGCTGGGAGCAGGAGCGGGCATCGCGCACAGACCTGCCCCTGGGACACTGCTGGCGAGGGGTGAAAGGCAGTCCCAGGGACTGGCCAGAGACATCCCGCAATTACTGTCCCCGGGGGAGCATCTGCTTCTCCTTCGTAGCCCCTCTGAACCAAGGGTTTGAGCGGAGCTGGGATTCGAGCAAAATCGAGCTTTTCATGCATATTAAGATGTTTAAAAATAAATACGGTGTCAGGCTGGCTTCTACCGCACATCGCTCAGGTTCAATCCACACGCTCTTTGAAGCTCCGGTGTAAAACTGTGGCAGCAGTTTGGAGTCTTGATGACTGAAGGCAGAGATAATAAATCCAAGTCTGTGGCCTGTATTTTGGATATGCTCAGTAACATCGGCTTTGGCCTTGGCCGTTTTAGGTTCAGCAGCTCTATACTGAACTTAATTATCTCCGTGGATAAAATAAGAACGCAGAGACCCAGCTCCAGGGTACCCAGCTTTGATTTTTGGCTCCATTTCTGTTTACTGTTGTTGTTTATAGTAAACACTGTGCTCTGAGTGGCTGAGAACAGCCATGTGGCAGCTCCTCTCCAGCAGCCAGTAATATTGGGGAAAACGCTCTCCCGTATCACTTCAATTGCTGGAGTAACGGCGCGCGGCTGCCTGTGCCGAGCTGCTGGCAGAGGGACAGCTGCCTCCTCTCCTCCTCTCTGCTGGCCTCTTCCCTTTCAGGTGTTGCTCTCGGACGTTAGCTGGCCAGGGTGAGGTGTCCCAGCACACATTCTGGAAATATTTGGCATACAGGGTGATAGTTTCATACCTCCCTTGTGCTTCAGAGCTGTCACCAGCAGCAGCTGGTAACTCGGCGCTGCTGTAGGGGATGGAGCCCAGCCTGTGGGCAGCCGGCGCTTGGGACGAGCTGCTGTGAGGGTCTGTGCTGCGTGGTCGGGTAGTTCAGGGTCTGCCCAGTAGATGGTATGAAAATGCAGACGGAAATAGGAAGAGACTTTTACAGTGGGCGAGATGGAAATACACACGGCTGTGCTATTTCAGATCTTTATTTTAGTAAAGGTTGAAGTGTGATTTGTTTTGAGAGACAGAAGTTGACCCAAGGTGCTCCTGCTTTAGCATTTACATCTGAGGAAATGACACATCTGTGTCTTGATAATCCGCTTTTTAGTCAAATATTTGGTATTAAATAAATCAGGTGATTAGCTAATTAAGAGAAAGTAAATGTAGAATCTAGACCAGGCATGTGAGTGGCATCCCTGCAAGTTTTGAGCCTCAGTTCAGGTCAGTCTGTCTCCTCTACCTTGTTTTTCCTGTGTATAAAATTTTAGCAATATTTAACTCTGAGTCACTTGCCTGGAACCTTGATGGATTTTGCAGCACATTTGGTGTCTTTAAATGAAAGGTGATGTTAGGGTGTAAAATGCTGATATTATTCATCAACTGGCTGTATTTCAAACTAGGGTGTCAGTGCTCCAGGGGTTGTGTCCTTGCCTTATATTTAATTTAAAGGAATCCATAACGCTTTGTGTCATAGCCTCAGGCACAGTGTGCCCAGAGAGAACCTCAGGGGATCATGTAGTTCTTTCCCAATTCAGAGTAAGATCCGGTACAGATCTAAAACCCCTCCTGGTTAACGTTTCTTCCTTTAAGGCTTTTCCTGCTGGCCGTTGCACATCCTGTACAGGTGCAACACTCAAGCATCCTTGCTATTAGAGAGATTTTGATGCTGTTTAAGATAAATCTCCGTATTGTGCTTTAAGCCTGTGCCTGCTTTTATGGTCAGCAGGGCACGTGGAGAACACTGTACTCCCAACATCTCTGCAGATATATTCGAAGTATTCAAAGACTTTGCTCTCTCTTCCTAAGCTGATGTAGCTCCCTTTCTGTTCTCTTTTCATATGGACTTGTTTTCTGCTCTGCTGATCTCTGCCCTTCTCTGCACTCCGCTGTCCATCCGTGCTTTTCATGTGATGCTGTGGTCAGGCTGGGCTAAGCAGGACTGTATTAGCTGAGCTTCTGTGGAGCAGTAATAATGAGTGGGCCCAAACTATCGCATTTCAGGTATGTCTGAGTACCATTATGTGCAAAAGGAAGGCAGATCAGATGTTTGCATATTTGCACGCTGAACTGTGCTGTTTGTGGCAAAAGACTTGGCTTGCTCTGCAAACTCCTATTTGCAAAATCTGGAGTAGGATGCTAGCAGTGTGGGCTCACTGCTGGTGTAAGTTAAAACTCAGCATGTTTGGTTCCCTTAAATCCGTTATGCTTGCATCTAGCCCACTGTCTCTCTTTTTTCTTGACTGAAACTGAAATTGAAATTCAGTTTGCAATGGGACAAGCGGATTTTGAGTCGTTGAGTTGCCCTTTTCTGTTTAAAAGCTTTCCCCATAAGATGACCAGGAGAGGTCCATGGGAAATGAAGCAAGACGCGCTGAGGACAGAGCAGTAGCTGCAGCTCCCACCTTCTTTTGCAAGGTTGTTAATCTCCTACATAAGACAGAAACATCTCAAGGTAAAAAACATCCCCACAAGAAGTCTCTGGGTGCAATGAGACTGTAACTCCGAACCTCCTTCACCCCTGCCATACACCCTGGTGCAGCATGTGCACTCCAAGCCATGGGACATGAGCAATGTTTTATCCCAAAGATGGCAGGACCTAGTTCTAAAGGCAAGGTGTTGTGTGTTTTTCAATGTATTCATAAAGAACTCCTTTATTTCCAAGCTTAAAAAATATCTCACTGTGAAGACTTCCCTAAATTCTTGCTCAGTGTTTGAAGTGATAATGCAAATCTGAAAGTAGTGGGAAGCACGTGAGGTCTTCTGTCTCTTTATCACCAGTTTTTGCTTGGCTTGTTCATGGATCAAAGGAGACTCATTCGTGTCTAGTGGCCTGAGCTGGCAGTGTCAAGCCACTGAAGTGTCACCAAGCTGAAGGAGAGTTCAGAGCAGAGGCATCGCTGCTGCCTGCCTTGTGCTGAAAACTTTAATTCCCAGCAATCTCTCTCTGCCTTAAATTACTTTAAAAGAACAGCACAGTGCTGAGCTCTTTTACAAAGGTTTCTGACAGATGACCTCTGGCAGATTTAGATGCCGTGATATATGGCATTGCAGCCAGCAGGGTTCCTTCAGACACCTACCAAATGTTTCTGTGGCTGTAACAGGGATTTGAGCAGAATATATGCCTCAGCTTTCCTTTTGCATAGTCTTGCGGTTTAATGCAGACTCATCCTGAGCAAAAGTTCAAGGATTTGGCCGTGAATGGAAGGAAAAGATGACCATCCTGTTCTGCTGCCACTGCTATTTGCATGGCAGCCTCATCCCAGAGGCCGTGCAGGTGGGTGATGTCCTACAGTGCTGCAGATGAGCCCTGAGACCTGACTTCATCGGGAGAGGGAAGTTGTCCTTGCGGCTCCCCTGTCTGGCTGGAAGCTGCTCGGTGGTGGTGAGGAGGCTGCAGCTGAGTCAAAATGGCCATTGCCAGCACGAGGGAGCTGGTGTGAGAGTTCAGCACAGGGCTCGTTGTTTTCCCTGGCACTGTGCTTGCGCCTCTGAAATACACACACCGTGCTCCATTTCTCGCTCAGAAATTTTTTATGTGTGTGCGCTGTAAATCAAACAGTATTAGCACCAGCCAGAAGCCCACCTCCTCCTGGAGATACCTCCCCCAGCTGATGTGCTCCCAGTTACCCAGCTGCAGCTGTGTGTTCCAGGCTGACACAATGCAAACAGCCCAGAAACCTCCCCGCGGCTTGGTTTTGTTTTTAACAACGGAAACCGTAGGAGTAGATGCCAGTGGAAATTTGTGAAACGCCGCGTTTGCCCATTGAGAAAAAGACAACTTCTCCCACTCCTCGGCTCTGCCAGCGTTGTGCCAGAGGCTGCGTCGGGTCCCTTCCTCGTCAGGAGAGCGAGGTTGGTCCAGGTGCTGCGGGAGCTACGCTTCATGCAGTTTGGTCAGGCATGCTGAGGGTGGACGTGGAGCAACGCCTCTGGCTTCCCCCCGTGTGCTGCTGACGTTTGGCTCTGGGGAAAGGTCCTGCTATGAAGAACAGCTGCTTTCCAGCAAGGGCTGCATCCCTGCGGGAGCTGCAGCAGGAGGCTTGTGCTGTTTCTCTCGGTTCGGTGCTCGTGGGGTGCTGTGCAGGTCAGAAAACCGGCATCACTCCAGCCCACCACGGATGGGCACGGTGTAAGCGGTGCTGTTT